AATACACAAAGGTCTAAATACACACGAGACTTTCTGCTATAGACTGAAATGCGATCATGGCTGCGTTACAATATAATAAACAACGCTTACAAACGATACCATCCAGATGGGTATCCACGGCAATTGTAACAATTTTAATTGATCGAATATAACAATTCACCTTCGTTGTCTAGACACACCCTGATCAACAAAGGTCCTTAAACATATTCATAAAACCACATCAACACGATATGAAACATGCACCTCTTCGTATAAGTATATCTCGATCAACAATATATTATACTGTATTTCACAGGTAAGGCCGATAACTTGATCACAGTTTACAGGCCATTGGAAATGTGCAAAATCCTACTTCGGCTTAAGCACAATGGCCACATGAGATTAGGTTTGTTAGATATGAGGAGCGTTACATGCGAGAATAACTGAATGCAAGGAAGTTTATGAAGAAAATGTAAATGATTCTAGAGAGATTTCATAAATGGGAAGAATAATCTCAAACAGTGTGCCGTAGCAAATGCAAACAAATGGAATTAAATAAACTAAACTAATGTCTTCACTACACTCATTAAACATGGGGCCACTATTTAAAATATTATTAATAATTCCAAGCTTTTGGGGTGGAAACAGAAGGAATTAGAATTGAATGCGTTTTTTTTCAAAAGTATAACGTAATTCAGGGCATCGTGTGTGTATGTACAAAGCGGTGTGAATGCACATTTGTGTATGTATCTACACCACTGCGCATGCCCACTCGTGTGTGGGTGTGTGTACATGGGAGTGTATACTCGTGTATTGTTATAATTTTGTGTCGTACAAAGAATTGAGGGCAACGTGGTAATGAATGCGGCACCACAACAGGGAACTACAGGGATGCGACTCCCCGCTCGTGGTGCTAAATGAATGAAAACAGCGCCACTGAGCAGACAGAGCCCCGCCCCTACAGCTCGTGAGTGTGACGTAGTGAGTGTGACCAGCGGACTGCCACGATGCTGCCAGGTAAGGGTAAACTTGTGTGATGGAGATGCTTCACCTGAAACTCGCCTCCACACGTGTTCGCTATGAACATTGTAGCAATAAGGGACGATCAGTCATCTTTAACATATCAGGTCTTTATTGTTCTGCAAGTATATTAACGTTAAAACTCGTAGAAACACATGCACACTCGTGTGTGAATGTCTCCTCGTCCGTGTTTTTTAAAGGAAGGATATGGTTGCAATAACGTATGATCAGTCATCTTTAAAAACAAAGCAGATCTTTATTAATCTGCAAGCATTTTAAAGTTAAAACTCGCACCTATCCATCACCACCACCCATCAAATTAACACAGCTATAAATATAGATATGTAAATTGACACAAACATAACAGACACACAAATAAACAATCTCTTTCACGACTTAATAATAACATAGTCCATATTGTCCGTGCCAGGCTAGGTGCACACAGACAAATCCATTGCACAATAATTTACATGTAACTCAAATTCACACTTAGTACTACCACCTCACTCACTTAAACATAACTACATAGATTAAGAAAACCATTAATTTAATAGTAATAAACCAACAAGATGGTGTTTATACGCTTGCAATTTAATGAATGGAATACAAGTTCATAATTCAAATTATACAAACATAAAAAATAATGAATATGAAGCCTGAGGCCGAGGTGTATGGCAGGCCTAACGGCCAGGCCTCCCTTCTGTCCTCGTCGCAGGAATGGCGACATCAAAGAGCACAAAGCAAGGGTGCAAATGTTGAATTTCTGTAGCGTAATTTAGACTGATTAGAGACTACAAACACTACGTACACGATGTAAACACAGCTACACAACGCACACACACTCGCCACACTTTCTCGACAAAACACGAACTGCACACTCTCACTCTGCCACACACTCTGCCACACTCTCTCTTTCTCACTAACTCAATGTCTATCACTAACTCACTGTCTCTCACTAAGTCACTGTCTCTCACTAAGTCACTGTCTCTCACTAACTCACTGTCTCTCACTAACTCACTGTCTCTCACTAACTCTCACTAACTCACTGTCTCTCACTAACTCACTGTCTCTCACTAACTCACTGTCTCTCACTACTCACTGTCTCTCACTAACTCACTGTCTCTTCTATCACACTCACTGACTCACTCTGCCACACTCACTCAAGCTCTAACGCACTCAATCTCACACACACTTATTCACTCACACCCACTCAATCAATCTCTCACCCACTCACTCAATCTCTCACCCACTCACCCACTCGCTAATCTCTCACCCACTCACCCACTCACTCACCCACTCACCCACTCACCCACCATTCACTCACCCACTCACCCACCCACTCATCTACCCACTCACCCACTCACTCAATCTCTCACCCACTCACCCACCCACTCACTCACTCTCTCACCTAATCACTCACTCAATCTCTCACCCACACACTCAATCTTCACCCACCCACTACCCATTCACTCACCCACTCACCCATTCACTCACCCACTCACTCACCCACTCACCCATTCACTCACCCACTCACCCATTCACTCACCCACCCACTCACCCATTCACTCACCCACTCACCCATTCACTCACCCACTCACTCACCCACTCACCCATTCACTCACCCATTCACTCACCCACTCACTCACCCACTCACCCATTCACTCACCCACTCACCCATTCACTCACCCACCCACTCACTCAATCTCTCACCCACTCACCCATTCACTCACCCACTCACCCACCCACCCACTCACTCACCCACTCACTCACTCACCCACTCACCCACCCACTCACCCATTCACTCAATCTCTCACCCACCCACGCACCCACTCACTCAATCTCTCACCCACTCACCTAATCTCTCACCCACTCACCTAATCTCTCACCCACTCACCCATTCACTCACTCACCCACCCTCTCACCCACTCACTCAATCTCTCACCCACTCACCCATTCACTCACCCTCGCTGTGTAGACCACGGAGTCTGAAGTCGAACCCAAGCCCTGCTGTTTCCGGTCCCAGCGCACAACCAGCACTGCACCACGTGATGCGCCAGCCGGGATCGTGGGGGGCGGAGCCTCGCCCTAGTGACGTCACCTCTGTTACGTCACAGCCACGCCTCCACCCACAGTCGAGAGGAATGCACACGAGGGAGCAGCAGAAGAAGCCTTTTGAGAGCGAATCCTCAACGAGGTGAGCGACCCTGTTGATTTTACATTTCGACCACAAACTAAAGCTTCATTACTTTTATATGTTCATAATTCAATTTTCAGCAATCAAATTAGAAAAAAACGCCACTTTTTTCAAATTTTCTTGCTGTGGATTTCACACCTGATGACGATTGCTTGTGTTGCAGTCGAAACGTCGTGATAATTTTATTGTTTTATATTTTTATTATTTTATTGTTTCCCTTCTATGTGACTTCACTGAAAGAACCAAGAATATGAATCCCTGCAGTCACGAAAGCTTTAATTAAAAATTCTAATTAGAACTGTTAGATAGGATACTTGGCATTCTCTGAAATGTTGCTGTTACTGTCGTTGTTTAGACCCCAAGCGAGTCAGCATTTAAAACAAGCTTAACTAATCCGTTTAAATCTCATAGAATATTAATAACATGTATACAATTATTGTGTTCTGATTGCTGGTACAATTGTGCCCTACATTACATGTATTGAATGTTATTCAACATATGAGGAGGAGTCTGCCTTTAAGTTCAGACCCTAGCCACTGCCATAGTTGCCTCCAATCTGTGATGTCACAGCCACATGGGTGGTACCTCTGACATCAAGTGACCTACGACGTCATGCTCGTATTATAACAAATAATTAAAGTATGGTCATATGACCCTAATGACCCACAAGGCATATGGGTCCTCTATCAAGCAGTCGATTAATACAAATGGGCTGTACATGAACATGCATGTCGGGATTAGAGGTGAAATATCATTGTTAAGTCTGGTGATTATGTTTAATGGAATAGGCAGTTGGAATAAACATGTTCGTGTGGGTGGATGAGTGAGTGATCGGGCGCACACATGAGTGGGAAAACAAGCGAGTGAGTGGGCTTTTAAAGCAACAGTCACGATAGTCTTCTTGATTCTATCGGTAAAGTCACGTAGAAAGAAAATAATAAAATGATAAAAATAAAACATAATAAAATACAATGCTCACGACGTTTCGGCCACAACGCAAGCAGCCGTCCTCAGGTGAAGAATAGGGCTGTCGAAAAGACAGCGTCTGAATGAACACCACCAAGCTTGGCAGCGTATATTTAAGCTGGGTTAGAGTGGGAAGGGCGCCTTGACAAAGGTATTTGCATATCAACAGATGAATTTAGCATATTTATGGAAAATGTATATATGGGATTAGTCACTACTTGTGAAATGCGTAGGAGGTGGGGGGGGGGGTCTCAAAGTCATATTATGCCATTGCATTATGTAGGATTAGCAGCAACAACAAAAGTCACGATAGTGTTTTAGTTTTGAAGCTTTCGTGACTGCAAGGATTCATACTCTTAGGTTTTTTTTCGGTAAAGTCACGTAGGGAAAAAAAATTAGCTTTTACAATATTTATAATAATATGAATAAAAAAGAATAACTCACGACGTTTCGGAGGCAACACAAGCTTCCTTCATCAGGTGTAAAAAGGCACAGCAAAATAACTGTAGTTAGGTGTAAAAAGGCAAAATAACTACAGTTATGTTACAGTTATTCTACAGTTATTTTGCTGTGCCTTTTTACACCTGATGAAGGAAGCTTGTGTTGCCTCCGAAACGTCGTGATATATTATTTTATTTCTATTATTATTTATATTTTTATCATTAATTATTTTTTATTATTTATCTATTTTTACCTACGTGACTTTACCGAAAAAAACCTAAGAGTATAGTCACGATAGTGATTGGATTGATACAATGAGTGGTCAAATATGTATTAATTAGGAGGATGAGTGATTCAAAAGTTTGCTAAATCTGAGCGTTGTTCCAACCTCCCCAGGCCATCCAACTTCAAACAAAATCTACTCGTTCCCAACAACATGGACAGACAAATCACGTGGGCTGAGATCTTGGATGAATATGAGGGTAAGTCCCAGATACCTGCATCACATGGATTATATGCGGAGGAGGAGACTCCTTGATGAATTACTTTTCGTAGACATGGCTTGGTGGTAATGGGAAGACGTAATGATCGAGTGTGGCAAAGAGGATGGGTTTATATTTGAGTTGTTGCCATCTTTGTTCAAACTGGGGTCTCAAGCTTATGTAATTTACGATCTCTCCGCCCCCGCCCCCTCTGTATATTTAAGGCCTCGTCACAGAGACGACCTCTCTCTTTCTGCCAATACGTGTTCTCTCTCTGCGTGTCTTTGTGATGTCTGTCTGCTTGTGTGTCTGTCTATAGTTTTCTGGTTAGATTTTTGTTGCTATTTATTTTATACCTGATGATGATTGCTTGTGTTGCAATCGAAACGTCGTAGTATGCTATTATTTAATTTATTATTTTATCTTTATACGTGACTTAACCTAAAGAACCAAAGAATAATTCCTCCAGTCACGAAAGCTCCAAAATTGAGATTGCCGACAAAAACATGACTTGTAAAGTTTTACTGCCATGTGATGACTATTTTTCAATAGCAGGTCCTGTTGTGTGGTAAGCGGTAATTACTGGGATCTCAAAATTAGTTCTGTGAGACTCCATGTCCTTCGTTCTCTAATTAATAACTCGTACTTTGAATGCATTTTCTGTTCTTCATAGCCCGGGAGTCGGCGTGCCAGTCGACCACGTGGGGGGACGTTATGGATAAGGTGGACCCTTTCCCAGGCCAAAGTTACAAGAATCGCTCCCCAAAGGTGTGTATGGGTTCTAGATTTGAAGCTTTCGTGACTGCAAGGATTCATACTCTTAGTTATTTCGGTAAAGTCACGTAGGTATAAAATGAAATAAAAATTAATAAAAATAAAATAATAAAAATCACGACGTTTCGGAGGCAACACAAGTCTCCGTCCCAGGTGGGACCGTCACAGCTGAATTTGCTGTATCAAGTGAGGCAGGGATTCCAAGATGCAAGTTCTTAAATACAAGTTAAGGAGGGAGGAGGGGGGAGGAGCTTATCAGAATGTGGTAGCCAATGAATGGAGCGTATTGGGAGGGGGGCGGGGCTAAAAGAGAGCACGATGTGTATGGGGTCTGTGGGGTTAAAACACACGACATTCTCTCGACAACGAGCACACCATGTCACCTCACCAGCACACCAAAATATCACGACACCAACTCTCCCCATCACCTTCTCATCACACTACACGACCACCAATTCAATACACCATATTAGAGCCTCATCATGCCTCTATACCATCACAATACACCATCTCTCTAGAACATTCCACTACTTCTCCTCTCCATATCGCAACACCATGTCCCGACACCATCACCGCATCTCTTCACCGTCCCGCTCATGCAGGCACTTGAAGTGGCCATTTATTACCAATGAAGACAGAATGATATCAGGCAGTCACATTAATTATGTCTGTGATTTGATTGGAAGTTACCATTCCAGTTCCAAACTATGGGCGCTGCAGTGAAGTTTGTCCAGAGTTTGGGCTTCCAGATATTTATAATGGGACATTCTGTGAAAACTATTGCCAGTGATGATTATTGCCAACAATTGCTATGAAACCGCCACAATCGAGCAAAGTCTTGAGTGCATGCATGGGGTTTATGGGGATATATGAGGATGTGACATGTATTTTCATTCTATAGGAGTTGGGATATTTAGGGGTTAGTACTACACGTACAATGTGATACAAGTATTGATGGATAAGGCATTGTGTTAACAGCAGGTGATAGTGTATATTCAAGTGTGTACTAAGCAAGTTTGAATGACTGAATGTGGATGGCTGCATCTGTACATACATGTGTGAGTATGTTTTTTTGTTTGGGTTTATGTGCACGTCCACGTTTGCGTGCCTGTGGGTATGAATGTTTTCTTGCATGTGCATGTCTGAATGTTCTTTTGCTTATCTTTGCTTGATCAGAGGATAATTGGGGAGTTGAAGGACGTCAGCGGGATGAAGCATCTCCAGGAAAAGAACCTTAGCAAAGAAAGATGCACCATGGAAGAGGAGCGCCTCTTGAGGTGCAGCGCATTGCCAGGGCGAAGTGCCGCACAGATGAGAAGTACTTCCGAGACTATCTCCTCAAGAAGCGCCTCATTCAAGTGAAGTACTTCATTGATGAGAAGCATCATCTCGAGATGATGTGTCCTGAGGAGAAGAATCTGGAGGAGGAGGAGAAGTGTCTCGCCAACGTGAAACGCGTCGAGGAGGAGAAGCGCCTTGAGCAGGAGCAGCGCCTTGCCAGCATTGCAACCATCACCACCACCGCTACCGCCGGCAACTCCACCCCCACCCCTGCCACCACCACCGCCACCACCACCACTGCCACCACTGCCACCGCCACCACCACCGCCACCACCACCCCCACTGCCACTGATGCTGTTGCCGCCACTGCCACAAAACCCGCCGCCACCACCACCGCCACCACCGCCACGACCGCCGTCACCACCGCCACCACAGCCACCACCGCCAACGCCACAACTGCCGCCACCGCATCCACCGCCACCACTGCCACTGACGCTGTTGCCGCCACTGCCACAAAACCCTCCGCCACCACTGCCACCTCCACCACTGCCATCACCACCACCGCCGCCACCACCACCACCGCAGTAACCACCACCGCCGCCACCACCGCCGCCACCACCACCGCCACCACCGCCGCCACCGACACCGCCGCCGCCACCACTACCACCGCCGCCACCACCACCACCGCTGCAACCACCACCGCCACCGCATCCACCTCTGACACTCCTGTACAGGGCCCGATTGCTCCAAGCTTTGGAGAAGAGGGCTTCCAAGCAGAGAAGATGGATAAGAAGACAGAGGTGGAACAGGAAGAGGAGAAGGTGGAGGAAGAGGTTGAGGAGGAACAGGAGGAGGGAATGGAGAAGACAGAGAATGGAGAGAAGATGGTGGTGGAGGATGAAGAGGAGGAGATGGAGGACGAGACAAAGCAGGAGGTGGAGGAGGTGCAGGTGGTGGAGGTGGTGATGCAGGGAAAGAAGAGGAAGCGAGGGGGCCTTGCTCGCGTGGCGAGAGCGATCACCTCCCTCCTCCGCCGCGTGCTGCTTTGTGGTGGCATGTCCACCCAGAGCCACTCCTGTAAAGAATAAGGTTCAATACCATTGTTGTTGCTGGCACTTTAAACTTTGTGAAATAAACCCATGATGACACAACATAACGTTGAATTGCTTGCAAGTGTAATAAAGGACTCGTTCACTGGGTCTGTCTCCGTTGTCCTTTATTTGGGTTCTTTACACTTGTCCCACACGGCCCTCGCTCAGAGCCTCCCCGCTTAGCAGCTCGACAGCTGCCTTCGCTCACGTAGCCTTTCGCGCTCCTGCAGCTCCGCTGTGCAGTCCTCCGGCTGCTCTCACTGCAGCTCCACCGCTGCTCCCTGTTCCCCCGTGCTCGTCACCGCTGGCCGACGGTGCCGAGTCTTACTGTGTGTGGCGATCTCGCCACTCTCCAACCTCCGCACTGTGTGGCCTCACTCTGTCTCTATTCCCAACACTCTCCCGTTTCTTCCGGTATCTCTCCCTTAAGACCTCATCCCTCTCTCTCACGTGACCTAACTCCTCCCCCCGTGACGTCATATCCGCGAGGCCGTTTATGCCCGCATTACACAAGTATACTACTGTTTGTATGTACATGGATCTGTACTTTTGTGTATGTCCACTCGTGTGTGGGTGTGTGTACATGGGAGTGTATATGTGTACTCGTGTATGATTATGCATTGGAACAAACAAATTGTTTTTATATTGTGTCGTACAAATAATTTAGGGGAAACGTGGTAGGAATGCGCCACCTCAACAGGGAACTACAGGGATGAGACTCCCCGCTCGTGGTGCTAAATGAATGAAAACAGCGCCACTGAGCAGACAGAGCCCCGCCCCTACAGCTCGTGAGTGTAACGTAGTGAGTGTGACCAGCGAACTGCCACGATGCTGCCAGGTAAGGGTAAACTTGTGTGATGGAGATGCTTCACCTGAAACTCGCCTCCACACGTGTTCGCTATGAACATTGTAACAATAAGGGACGATCAGTCATCTTTAACATAGCAGGTCTTTATTGTTCTGCAAGTATATTAACGTTAAACTCGTAGAAACACATGCACACTCGTGTGTGAATGTACAACGCTGTATATACAGTCGTGTTTGGATGCACACTCGTGTGTGTATGTCTACTCGTCCGTGTTTTTTTAAAGGAAAACTATCGTAGCAATAACGTACGATTAGTCTTTTTAAAACAAATCAGGTCTTTATTAATCTGCAAGAAAACTCACGTTAATACTCGTATCGAAATCTTTATTAATACGCAGGCTCAAACAGGAAAGGAACTAGGCAAATTATTTCCCAATAGGAATTTAACAGTTAAAAGATATTCTTGGAATCAAACACGTAAACGTCGATTTCCCCTTTGACGTCCTTTTCGACTGAAGCCATTCGTCCAAAGTATAAAATTGTTGTCATTCTGAAATAAGTGAACACTTCTGGAACTCTACTTGTCCGTGTTTTTTCAAGGAAGGAAATGGTAGCAATAATGTACGATCAGTCATCTTTAAAACCAAATCAGGTCTTCATTGATCTGCAACAATATTAACGTTAAAACTCGCGTAAAAATCTTTATAATTCGTTTTTTCAAACAGTTAAGGAACTCGGAAAATTATTTCACTTTCAGAGGCCTCGTGGGCCGCTGTGGTGGCTACGAGACTTCCCTCCAGGACATTGCTCACATCCACCGCAGCGTTACCGTCCGTCACCGCGATGAGGTAGCGGATTCTTTTCACGGAACTTTACTCGTGGATGGGGAATGCCAAACAACAGGGGGCTCTTCTTCTGAGAAAAAAAAAACGAATCAAGGGGGCGTGGGAGCGTGGCGTAAGGTGTGGAAAGCGCTAAGCCCCAGGCTACCGTGGGCACACCTCCCATCAACGGGAGGCGAGGAGTGGTGGTTGCTCATGCATCCACCGAAGATGCATATAAGTCGAGTTAGATTCCTTCTCTGACCTCCTACATTATAATCCCCACTATACTCGGATGTATGCATATGTATATATATATATTTGCGGAACCTAGGGACGGATATGCGTACTGGGGGTGCGGGATTAGAATTGCACTATAATTATTAGGATCGCATTGTGGCCGCATTGTAATTTGCTGAATGTGCAATCTCAATGGATTGGAATAGCTATTTACAGTATTTATTAACAATTAACCGCACAATCCTAATCAAAACTTGTTGAGCATATTTATTTTATATTTATTGTGCCATTCAAATCCCGCAGCCCGCAGTTCGCATATAGATACATACACAATGCATTAATTCGAGCACAGTGTGATTCTATTACGGGATATTATGAAAGGCATATGACTAATCGGTCTTGCCTGCATCCCTGCAATGATGTTCACCTTCGGGGTAGGCATGAGCAACCACCACTCCTCGGGGCATACAGCTTCCCACAGCTCACCGCCACAGTCCCATGCCCCTTCGTTATTTTGTTCAGAAGAGCCACTCTCCCTGTTGTTTGGCATTCCCCTGCCACGAGTAAAGTTCTGTAAAAACAACCCCTACCGCATCGGCGGACGGTAAAGCTGTGGTAACTGTGAGCAATGTTCCAGAGGGAATGCTCATAGCGATCACAGCGGCCCTCGAGGTCTCCGGACTGTTGCGAGGGGCTGGTTACCCCTCCACATTCAATGCACTTACCGTGAAAACACGTGGAAAATGTGTCAACACATTCGTACACACAGCACTGTAATACACAAAGGTCTAAATACACACGAGACTTTCTGCTATAGACTGAAATGCGATCATGGCTGCGTTACAATATAATAAACAACGCTTACAAACGATACCATCCAGATGGGTATCCACGGCAATTGTAACAATTTTAATTGATCGAATAACAATTCACCTTCGTTGTCTAGACACACCCTGATCAACAAAGGTCCTTAAACATATTCATAAAACCACATCAACACGATATGAAACATGCACCTCTTCGTATAAGTATATCTCGATCAACAATATTATACTGTATTTCACAGGTAAGGCCGATAACTTGATCACAGTTTACAGGCCATTGGAAATGTGCAAAATCCTACTTCGGCTTAAGCACAATGGCCACATGAGATTAGGTTTGTTAGATATGAGGAGCGTTACATGCGAGAATAACTGAATGCAAGGAAGTTTATGAAGAAAATGTAAATGATTCTAGAGAGATTTCATAAATGGGAAGAATAATCTCAAACAGTGTGCCGTAGCAAATGCAAACAAATGGAATTAAATAAACTAAACTAATGTCTTCACTACACTCATTAAACATGGGGCCACTATTTAAAATATTATTAATAATTCCAAGCTTTTGGGGTGGAAACAGAAGGAATTAGAATTGAATGCGTTTTTTTTTCAAAAGTATAACGTAATTCAGGGCATCGTGTGTGTATGTACAAAGCGGTGTGAATGCACATTTGTGTATGTATCTACACCACTGCGCATGCCCACTCGTGTGGGTGTGTGTACATGGGAGTGTATACTCGTGTATTGTTATAATTTTGTGTCGTACAAAGAATTGAGGGCAACGTGGTAATGAATGCGGCACCACAACAGGGAACTACAGGGATGCGACTCCCCGCTCGTGGTGCTAAATGAATGAAAACAGCGCCACTGAGCAGACAGAGCCCCGCCCCTACAGCTCGTGAGTGTGACGTAGTGAGTGTGACCAGCGGACTGCCACGATGCTGCCAGGTAAGGGTAAACTTGTGTGATGGAGATGCTTCACCTGAAACTCGCCTCCACACGTGTTCGCTATGAACATTGTAGCAATAAGGGACGATCAGTCATCTTTAACATATCAGGTCTTTATTGTTCTGCAAGTATATTAACGTTAAAACTCGTAGAAACACATGCACACTCGTGTGTGAATGTCGTCCGTGTTTTTTAAAGGAAGGATATGGTTGCAATAACGTATGATCAGTCATCTTTAAAAACAAAGCAGATCTTTATTAATCTGCAAGCATTTTAAAGTTAAAACTCGCACCTATCCATCACCACCACCCATCAAATTAACACAGCTAAATATAGATATGTAAATTGACACAAACATAACAGACCACAAAATAAACAATCTCTTTCACGACTTAATAATAACATAGTCCATATTGTCCGTGCCAGGCTAGGTGCACACAGACAAATCCATTGCACAATAATTTACATGTAACTCAAATTCACACTTAGTACTACCACCTCACTCACTTAAACATAACTACATAGATTAAGAAAACCATTAATTTAATAGTAAATAAACCAACAAGATGGTGTTTATACGCTTGCAATTTAATGAATGGAATACAAGTTCATAATTCAAATTATACAAACATAAAAAATAATGAATATGAAGCCTGAGGCCGAGGTGTATGGCAGGCCTAACGGCCAGGCCTCCCTTCTGTCCTCGTCGCAGGAATGGCGACATCAAAGAGCACAAAGCAAGGGTGCAAATGTTGAATTTCTGTAGCGTAATTTAGACTGATTAGAGACTACAAACACTACGTACACGATGTAAACACAGCTACACAACGCACACACACTCGCCACACTTTCTCGACAAAACACGAACTGCACACTCTCACTCTGCCACACACTCTGCCACACTTTCTCACTAACTCAATGTCTATCACTAACTCACTGTCTTCACTAAGTCACTGTCTCAAAGTCACTGTCTCACACTCATGTCTCACTAACTCACTGTCTCTCACACTCACAAGTCACTGTCACAACACTGCTCTCTCACTCACTGTCTCTCACTAACTCTCACTAACTCACTGTCTCTCACTAAGTCACTGTCTCTCACTAACTCACTGTCTCACTACTCACTGTCTCATTCTATCACACTCACTGACTCACTCTGCCA